GTAAGACTTCAGGTTCACAGGAGCTTTGCCTAAACCAAGAAGATAACTGCAGACCGGCCTCTATGTAGCATGCAAACACAGGAGATAGCTGCTCGCATGAAAGAGCTCTCTGACTGAACGGATCAAAGCACTTCTTATTCTACCTGGTTTAATCTGCCATCAGGATAAAGGTGTGATGATGTCACCCAGTGTCTCATTTGGCTAAATAACTCTGACATTAGTGATGCTGCTCTGTTGGCTGATGATGGTAACCGTTTGGACAGATCCAGGATGAGTCTGTGGATGAGTGGGAGGTTTGCTGCTGGATATCAAACATGGTTCATATAGGAGGTGTTAGAGAGCAGTGCTCACCTGCAGCCTTCCTGAATCCTGTGGTTTTATCTGAGGTTAGCGGTGAGGGAGGCTCCTGGTTCCGTTCTTTAGCCTGATCTCCGTCCAATTTATTCTAATGATGTTGCATTTTGATTCAAATCTATGGAGGGAATTTCGTTCCATTATTGTTCCAAGCAAACAACACATTTTATAAAAAAAAAAAAAAAAAAAAAAAAAAATGCAGCAGGAAATGGAACTTTGGAAAATATATTTAGATCAAAAATTGAGAGTAACTTTGCTGTTATTTTAGATTACGGTATGCTTCTTTAATTTTTTTCTCAAATGTATTTTTCAAATTAATTTTATGATGAAATTTTTATTCATATGTTTTTTTTTTTTTTTCAGATAGAGTTTTATGAATTGCTTTCTTTTCAAATTACATTTCACTGATCCCATCCCCCTTAACTTTAGGCCCAATCCAAACACTCGCTTAAATAATACAAATAATACAAATACAGTTGCTAACTTTCAGGTGACCAATAGAAATGCATCTTTGTACCTCCCTCCAGAAGAAAGCCCGCCCCCAGAGGGCAAGAGAATATGATCTGGAAAACGCAATTAGAATAGAATGCATTTCATAATAATTTATCTGGAAAAAGAAAAGAAAAGGAAATTCAGATAAATTTAATATAAAAAAAAACAACAAAATAATACATTTTGAAGTAATTAAACTTTTTTAAAGATTAAAAAAGAACTAACAAATATTGTTAAAAAAAAGAGTGAAGAAACTTAATCTGATAAAACAGCAAAGTCACGTTTTATGTTTAATTAATCATTTTTTTCAAAGTTTCTATTTTTGGATTGATTTTTTTTTTCTTTTAATTTCAATTAACTAAATGTGTTCTTTGCTTCAAATTAATGGAACAAAGTTCTCTTAATAGAGAATATGGTCTAGTATCGTTTTCTTCTGCATGTAGCCAGATTGATTTAAGACAGAATATATTGTTGGAAAGTTAAGATTAACGAGCCCTCAGAGCTGATCAGATGTCTATTTACATGTTAAGATTCATACTCCATGCATCCATCCATCCATCCATCCATCTGTCCATCCATCCATCCATGCATCCATCCATCCATGCATCCATCCATCCAAGCATCCATCCATCCATCCACCCATCCATTAATCACCCATCCATCCATCCATCCATCCAACCATCCATGCATCCATCCATCCATCCATCCAACCATCCATTAATCACCCATCCATCCATCCATCCATCCATCCACCCATCCATTAATCATCCATCCATGCATCCATCCATGCATCCATCCATCCACCCATCCATTAATCACCCATCCATTAATCACCCATCCAACCATCCATCCATCCATCCATCCATGCATCCATCCATCCATCCATGCATCCATCCATCCATCCATCCATCCATCCATCCATCCATCCATCCATCCATCCATCCATCCATCCATCCATCCATCTTCTCCCACTTATTCCATCAGGGTCGGGATTGGGGCCCAGGGCCTCTCTGGCAGTCTATTAGGAAGGTCTCTCTGTTGGGGAGAGAAGGAGCAGTGTGAACTTATCTGAGATATTCACAATACATGTGGTGAACTGGTGAAATAGTTTTTAAAACCAAAGACGTTACCTCACCACATGCTATGCACTGTAAAAAAAATAAATAAAAAAAAAAGGAAGGAAAAAATGGTTTCATCAGGGCAGATATGTACAGAAGAAAAAGGAAAGGGGCTCCGGATCCAGCAGCGGTTTATCTTTGCACGTTGCTGCACAAATGCATAAACATCTGAAATATTAAAACCTTTTTATAGGTCAATCGCTAAAACTTTTTAACCAAAACTGAATAATTTTTAACAACGTTCCATCCTCCGCAGAATACAGAGGGGTGAAGACGACAAACTCAAAGAAATAAATCTATCATAAGATAATTAAATACAAACATAAAAGTAGATGAGTACATTTACTATGAAATAGTAAAATATAAGAGTAAATATATACTTTTACTGTTAAATGTTATTTTTACAGGCTGGAGTCTTTAGAAATGGAGTCTGTGCCTTTTTCAGTAATTATTGATCTCGGAGTGGCAAAAAAAATCCAGGAAGACGTATGTCTTTCTCAGTGAGAAGCAGCCAATCAGATGTCAGAGTTTCTATTAGGGATGCACAATATAATCGGCCCCCTATCGGTATCAGCCTTAAAACTGAATATCGGACATCTGCCACCCCACCGATATTTAACCCGATATTTGATCAGCTTCTGAGTTTCTAAAGTCTAAGAAAAAAAAAAAAAATACTACTTCTTCTTCTTCCTCAAAAACTTATATGATTTACCAGGAACATCAGCATCTATACTATGGGAGGTAGGGAAAGCAGTGATGAGAGGTAAAATTATTTCATTTTCATCTCATAAAAAAAAGTTAGAACAAAAAAAGATCCAGGAATTAGAGGGAAAAATAAAGTTACTAGAAAGCTCGCTAGATGAGGAAAAGTTAGGGGAAATCCGTAAAATAAAACTAGAACTAAACGAATTTATTGAAAAACAAAATAAATTTTTAATTCAAAGACTTCGAATTGACAACTTTGAACATAGCAATAAGTCAGGAAGCTTCTTAGCTAACCAGCTAAAAATAAACAAAGAAAAAACGACTATATTTGCAGTTACAGATTCAATTGGTAATACATTACAGGATCCGGAGGATATTAACAATGCCTTCCGAGATTTCTATAAATCTTTATACACATCACAGTTAAATCCATCAGATAATGATATCAAGCGATTTCTGGATAAAATAACTCTTCCTAAATTATCAGAGAGTCAAAGAGCGACCCTGGACTCACCGCTGTCTACAGCTGAAGTTCAGGAAGCATTAAAAAACATGCCAAATAATAAAGCGCCAGGTCCAGACGGGTTCCCTACTGAGTTCTATAAAGAGTTCTGGGACATTCTGGCCCCAACGTTCCACAGAATGCTGCAGGAAACTCTAGATGATGGCAAATTTCCAGTTAATATGAATTCTGCCACCATTAGTCTCCTGCTTAAGCCAGGCAAAGATCCTATGTTTCCGACCAGCTATCGTCCCATATCCTTAATTAACGTGGATATTAAAATAGTCTGTAAAGCTTTAGCAAAACGGTTAGATAAAGTCACTCCTCTCATAATCCACCCAGATCAAACTGGTTTCATTAAAGGGAGGCAGTCAGCTGCTAACACACGCAGACTGCTGAATTTAATAGATTATTCCTACAGCAAAAATCTTAAATCCTATATATTGTCCTTAGATGCAGAAAAAGCATTCGATAGAGTAAACTGGAAATTTTTATTTGCTACTCTACATAAATTTGGCTTTGGCAATTCCTTTATAAATTGGTTAAAAATATTATACAGCTTCCCAAGAGCCTGTGTCAGGACAAACAATCAAACATCTTCCAGTTTTTGTCTCCAGAGGGGCACCAGACAGGGATGCCCACTCTCCCCCTCACTTTTTGCTATTTTTATTGAGCCTCTGGCTGCTACAATCAGACAAACAAATATGATTAAAGGTATAAAAGGCATGAAAATGGAGCATAAAATTAGTCTTTACGCAGATGATGTATTACTTTATCTCCAGCACTCAAACACTTGCCTCTCTCAAGTGATTAGTTTACTAGAATCTTTCTCAAAAGTCTCAGAATACTCTATAAATTGGTCTAAATCTGTAATACTACCAATTAATTGCTCTCTACAGAATCCCTCAGGTCTACAATTGCAATCAGGAAATATCAAATATTTGGGAATTACTGTGTCATCTAAACTAGCTGAGTTACCAAAACTCAACCACACCCCTCTTTTAATGAAAATAGAAGAGGACCTAGAAAGATGGAAATCGCTTCCGATCTCCCTTTTGGGTCGGGTAGCCTCAATTAAAATGATGGTCTTACCCAGAATTAACTACCTATTTTCAATGATCCCAAATAAACCATCAACCGAATGGTTTAAATCTCTAGATTCTTCCATCTCTAAATTTCTTTGGAAGGACAAACCCCCTCGTATCAGCTTAAAAACACTACAGAAAACTAAAGTCAGAGGGGGACTAGATTTACCTAACTTCCAATACTACTATTTAGCAAATAGATTACAATACATCTCTAAATGGATAAAACATAATCCCTTAGATGAGCCCTGGATAGACACAGAACAGGATATATGCAGCAGGGCCGTCACTAGGTTCGAGAGACATGGGTGGCTTAGCCCCTAGGTAAGATATTGCGCGCGCGCAGCGCGCGCCGAAATTTTTTCAGTGCACTTTCTAAGGCGCTGTCTATAAATTCATTATTTTAAGAGCAACATACCTGGGAAACACTTCCCTCACTAATGCTACTTCACCAACTAAACTACATCAGTTAAAATGTGCTAAATTACAAAGAGTAAATGGTAGGTGCCATGCATTACTGCATAAATGGAAGAAGGCAAGTGGTTCGCCACTCATCATAATGGAAACCTTCTACAGAAGACAGTTGTCTAACCAACAGACTCCCAACATCTTCATAAACCCTTAACCTGGCCATTCATCTTTCCCCATCTCCCCTGCACCCACAACCTGTCAGGAACCCCTGTCTGCTTTGCAATAACCCTGTTTCTGTGTGTGTGCTTGGTGTGTGTGTGTGACCTGGACTTT